TAGAAGATGAATAAAGGCAAACAATTAATGATACATATGGTGACTCCATAAAACATGACATGCTTCGTCTTTGGGATCTGCTCATATCACTAAACTAATTCATCAACTGGTGAAGTAACCACATTTCGATTAAAAGATAATAATCTGCATATACGTTCCAATAATGTTGATATATTTTATATAAGCAATGCCTGAAAGTTTTGTTTGTTTTTAATTATTACATAAGAAAAGGTTGGCGCTGAAGAAGACCACGTGAATAATGCATCCTTTCATGTCTCCTTCGGTGTGATGCATAATCGAAGAAGAAAGATGAATCCAGTTCATTAGAAAAAAAAAAACTTTCATGAGTCTTCCTTTCCGAAAGAGAGTATTGTAGGGTAATTTGCAGCCTTGGGAAATCCAGAGGAAGAAAAAGAAAAAGTTCGACTTAATAAAGGGGATAAAAAAAAAAGTTATCTGCCTTCTTTTCCCCACTATAATTGAGTTGGTTGTATAAATTTTTTAAAAGTACACGGAACACATCACTTTATTTCCTTTTTTAATGGTTTAGAAGAAAACGTATCCTTTTTCTTTAATTATATAAATTTGTCGTCAGCTTTCTTTGGCATATATGAAGTTATATGTAAGAAGATGTATTTTTTGTAAAATCTATTTCTCCCTACTGGTTTTTTATCTCACACCAATTTCATCAACTATATGTGTGGCGAAGTATATATTTTTTTAAGTATATATTTTTCTTTTACTATTTAACTAGTCGATCAACGTTGTAAAGTAGCAATACATGTTTTCAGATGTTGAATTAGAACATTCAGTTTTCGTATTTTGCATTACGTATGTTGCATGGAGAGAAGGATATTTTTTCTGAAACTATTGATCTTTGTTTCTGGCATGCGACTATATAATGAATAAGAGTGTGTATGTGTATTTTTGAGTTATCTAATGTAAAAAAAAAAGACTTTTGTGTTTTAATTACCAAAACACATAATTTTCTACTATTTAAAGGAGACAAATGACTGTTTTAACCTTTTTGGTTACTTATATATATTATTTCTTTATTTAATATTATATTAATATCACATACTTCTCATAATTGTTTGTTGTTATTTATCTATTATTTAAAAAATAATCGAATAATTATTTTGATATTATAAATGATATAATTTTTTTCTTAATACTTTGATACCCATTTTATATATTTTATTTTAATTTTTTTCGTCGTTTAGTAATAAACACATAGATATCCATATAGTAGCATCATGTAGACACAAATATATAGATATCTATGCAGTTATATAGATATATATGTATACACATATATATCTATATAGTAGCGTACACGTGAACACACAATATATGAATATATATATATATATATTGCATATCCACGTATATAGAGTATAAATGAATATAACTATATAGATACATATATATATATATGTATATCCATATGCATATATTATAGATGGATGTAACTATATAAATATATGTGCATATTTACATGTGTATCCATATAGTTGCATATATATAAGTGGGTCTTGTGTGATTTAGTGTGTGAAAACTAATAAATTAAGATGGGTCCCATGCGATTTAGTGTGTAGAAGCTAATGAGTGAATTTAAGTGGGTCTTGTACATTTTAGTAAGACAAAAGAAAAAGAAGGATAAAAAAATCCAAAAATAGAAACAAAATAAGATAAGATAAGTCCATCTAATTTAGAAAGTGTTTTTTTGGCAATTACACTTTCAAAAAGTATACTTGGTGGTAATATTCTCTAATGAATAATCATATTTTTTTTGTTGTTCTATAATTAGACAATTAGGTCTAACTTCTTTTACATAATACGATTTGATAAATTCCGTTAGATATGTCTGTCATAGCAAGTTTCTCGGCAAAGCTAGTTTTCAATCATTTCACGTTCAACAAATAATGTTAAAAAAAATGTTCACCTGAAAGCTAACTTCTAATTAATCTCTTGTGATAGAGATATACATCATTTTCAAGAAAATTTATTTTTATGTTTTAAATTGATGTCAGGTAAGTGATCGCTGATTTCTCAAAACTAAAATACTGAATCAAAAACAATTACAGAAACGTCAAATTAGGTTCAAAAAAGGACTATAGGATCGAATATAAATCAGATCGAGATATCAGATTATCACATTTTACCTTGATCCATTGAATTAAGGTTTAGTTCGGACTATTTAGCCTTGTCTTGGTCCACCCTCCAACCTCCACCAATTATCATTTTATCTTATTGTTTAGACAATCCAACCGTGGTTGTTGTGTGTATATCATGTGATAGCTTCACAGAATCACAGTAAATATTGAACAAGAAATTAGCATACAAGATAATGTTTCTTACATCAAATATGTATTAAAACCTTTTTTTTGTCTCAACCTAATACCTTTTTTTGACCAATAACCTAACACTTTATTACTCAACTCATTGATTATATAACGTTAAGCATACCAACCTGACTTAAAATCTTTAGCCATCTAATAATAGAATAAAAATGGAGAAACGGAAAGTTGTTATGCGATTTGGTCTGCATAAACGATTAAACACAAGCTTTTTAAAGCCTTCCGTTTTGAATCATTTTGGTATAGTTTTAGGTATTATAGATTATATTGTATCCATTCATTGTAATGGTTATAAAGATGTCAATATCTTTTTGCTATAATTGAAAAGAAAAGAAAGAAAAATGATAGAAAGTGTTTTGTAGTCTTGTAGTCAATAGCGAACTAACATTTATACGTAATTACAAATTATATCATGATAGAGTTTATTCATTATAAATTTTTGTGCCCACAGTATACATATCACTAAAGATCCCATGTGCCCTTGTCTGCATTCACTTAGTCTTTTTCGTTCTACTGGATATACTTTTCCCTCTAAGGAAAACAATTATTTAGATGTGTCGCAAATTCACTTTTCACGCTCGACCCAGTCTTTAAATTTGGATAAAATTTGGGGACATATCTTTAAGTAATTTGGGGACATATCTTTAAGTAATAAAATTTGTTCACACAAAGATTTCTTATGGATTTCTCGAACTTGTTAGTATTTGACTTGTAATAATTAAAACGATTTTTATCTAAACACTAACATAAATAGGCGAACTCAATTTTAATAAAATTGCCACTGTATATATTTAGCATTCTTGTTAAATTGTATTTATAATTGAAACACTTGCAATTGCGTTCATACCATAACATATTATTTTTAATTGAAGATCAAGGTATAAATGAGGTACCGAAACTTAATGTGCTTTATTAAATAAGAAATTGAAATTTGTTGATAAAAAAAAACAATATACTTATATTGGGTGTAAAAGATTACATTTAGAATATATATTGTTATATCTGATAATCAAGTCACAGAATATTACATTTAGAATGTACATTGTTATATTGGGTGCAAAATAAAAAAAGAGAGAGACAGTTGAGTAATGATTGAGTAGGTTCGTGTGCATATTATAAGATTGAATGCTATGATGGAAAATTCAGACAGTGTATCGTGTGGATTCTTTTTTTTTTTAACTTGTTTTTTTTATCGTATCAATTATTAATTATTATAATTTATGAAAATAATTACGTAGATAGTTCTAAAAATGGATAATTTTACTGTTTACATGTATCATACTCACTACCAGGACTACGACGAACATGTAAGTTTACCTTTATTAATCTGTGTTAATAAACTCTCAGTCAATGACATCGTGAGAGTTCAAGAATTAATTATAATCTGACAAAAGTAAAATACCACAATAGAACGAAAGATGACAGATCTATTTTAGAAATTTATTCCTTGATCTTCAATTTTATTTTCTTATTTAATAAAGCACATTATGTTCTGGTACCTCATTTATACCTTGATCTTCAATTATATAATATGTTAGCGAGTAAAAATTTTTAAAAATTTATCAAATTCAGTCTATATATAGTCTTGTATATAGCACATATTTCTGCTTGTATTAATAAGTTGTTTTGAAGTTTCTGTTACACCTTTGTGAACTCATTTCGATATCAAAGAATTTGTTTAACCAGAAGAAACAAATATATTGTCCCGCTTTCATAAGAATCATCCATATTTATGTATGCATAACGTCAATATGTTTTTCACTGTGGATATTAATATCTAAGCATGTGAATATGTTTGTGTACTATTATATATTGCCACAACAAATTAGGCATGTTATATAGCGCATTCATTTCATTATCACCTAACTGTTAAATACCGTCGATGGCCCTAGATTTATTGTCTATTTTGTACCCTCCGTTTCTTCTTATAAAGATATGTCGACCCCCTTTTCAAGTTAAATATTATGACGACTAAAGACACTAGTGAAACTGAAGAACGATTAAATTATATTGCATAGTTGCATGCATGTCCTGTAAATATCAGAGCATCGCAAGTCAAAACAAAAATACGAAATCTCTCATCATATAGGAAAATGAAACAATATAGGGGTGTTTTCGTTATTTCTCTGTAAAGCTAGGGATGTAATTGGCTGTTCGTCATATGAACTCGCAATTATTAGCACCAAAGATTAAATAAATCCCGATCTTATCTTAAAACCACGAGAATTATATGATTCTCTCATTCTCTCCTTCCTCGGTTGATTGATTCCATTGGAAAAACAAAAACAAATTATATTAAATTCAATTAAACAAAAAACCTTTTAAGTTTTAATCCACATATTTAAAAAGGGATTTGCACCGATTCTGTAACGTTTGAGGCCGTTAAGTAAGTGAGTGATAGAAGCACACGTGTCAATCGTATAGGCTATGAAAGATTGATCGATATAACGGCGCCGTCAAATTTCCCGTTTACAATATTCGACGTCTCTAATGGTCCCCACCACAGCAAATACTGTACCATTCCTTCTTCTTCACACGAGGCTTTTTTTTTTCTCAATAATGAAAATGACAAAAGAGTGAGAAGATCGTGGCCGTTAATAATTACGATCGTCATCACAAACTTAGTAGTATAACAGAAACAAACCAATGGTACATTGAGCTAGAGAGAGAGAGAGAAACCACGCACGCACAACGAGAGAAGGAGAGAGAGAAATCGGTGACGTCGTTGGAGATCGATGGCGGCGAGAGGTAGGAGAAGAGAACGAGATACGGCGGAAGGAAATGAATCGACGACGACGCCGACGGTGAAACGTAGGAAGCTGGAGGAAGTAGATGTAGAATCTAGGATCATATTTTCGAATCGCGGTGGAATCGTGGCGAGAAATTCGGCCGGAGCGTCGGAGACCAGCGTCGTTATCGTTCGACGGCGAGATTCTCCGGTCGAAGAACAGTGTCGCCATGTTCCTAGCTCGGAGTATGATTTAGATCGCGCGTTGGTTTCTTGTTGCTCTAGTAATAGATCCGAAGAGAAATCGAAAAGGAGGATCGAATTTGTAGATTTTGAGGTGAGCATTGTCTTCTTCTTCCTCTCTCGATCCTCTTTTGATTTTTTTTTTTTTTTTTGATTTTTAGAATTTTCGTTTTTCATTTTTCAGGAAGATAACGGTGGTGATCGAAGGGGAACGTCGTGGATTTATGATAGGTTTGTTACATAAATTTAATTTTTGATCTCTGAGGGGTTTCGAATTTGAATCGTCAGTTACGAAAATGTGAATTTGGAGTTTTTTTTTAATATATTTATCGATATATAAATGTGTCTATCTCTTTGATCTTGAATAATCAGGAGAGATCGAGACAGTGAGCAGGAATCGGTGAACATGAATTCGTCGGAGGCTATGGAGATTCAAGAGGTGGAGTCTCGCCGCCGGTTAAGGAAGCAGGAAAAGAGCCGTGAGACGGTGAAGGAAGCTGAGCTCGAAGATTTTTTCCAGGCGGCGGAGAAAGATCTCCGGAATAAGATGTTGGAATGTTCGAGGAAGTAAGTTTTTTTTGTTCTCTCTCTATCTTTTTGAGATATACAAATCAAAAGGTTTAATTTAAAAACTAACGCAAAATTGAGAATTTTGCAGGTATAACTTCGATTTCGAGAAAGATGAGCCACTTGGTGGACGATACGAGTGGGTAAAATTGAATCCCTAAAGAGGAAGGCGAAGACCTGAAGAGGATGATCACTCACCAAGAAGTTTGGTTTATTTCTCTTCTATAATAATCTATTAAAATGTAATCTATTGATTTTTCTTACCCTCAAAAAAATGTAAATATCTCTCAATAATCTAATAACCTTGTAATCCAAAAATTCTCTCGTTTGTCTTCCTAGTACTTATTAGAACTATGTTTTGTTTTTCACGATTGATCATTAAAGATCTAAGAATGCTTTAAAAAATTATTCAAGAAGTAGCATTTAACAAAAAAAAAAAGAACTGAAATACTGACAAGACTGATAGCTATAATTACTACTGTGTTTATACCTTAGTTCATAGTTTTTTTGCCAGTAGATTCTTCGTCTCTTCTCTTCATTACATAGATTTCATATATTTTTCGCATTAGTTTTTCCCACAAAAAAAAAGAACATTATATTGGTTTTTGTTTTTGTATGTGTACATAATAGCAGAAAAAGGCGAAACTGAACCGGCTGACGTGGTAAAGGAATATTACTGTTTATTTATCAGGCTTTTTCAGTGTAAAAATATATTTTATTCTCACTTGGATTTACGTGCTACTCTAGTGAGATTTAACTTCAACCTTATGCTTCACATGCTATAGTATTTAACTGTTTCCAGAATCCTTTTAAAATTCAAAATTTGATTTGAAAGCAGCCTAAATAGCCTGTTCCAGTTTTTTAAAAAACTGAATAGCCATTGTTAGTTTAGTTTATTTTACTTGTGTTAATTTATATACCTAAATGACGTGGATTTATTAGAAATGATTGGTGTTTGTTTCCGGGTCGTTTTCTATCAGTGAGGAATCACAAATCTTTTCATACCAAACTCTGCCATTATTATACATAACACTCTTTAATTTCCTAAACCGAGGATGACTTTATTATTAACTTTTTCCCCTTTTTATTTTGGTCTCTCCTTTTCTGTTCCTTTATTATTTTCTTTTCTGTCATTATTATATCTCTTACTTTAAAAATACTAGAACTGAAGATTCAACGATTTCAATGAAATATTCAGAGGTTATGATTAAAATGTGTAATTGTCGTACTTGTACTGATCGGTTAAAGAAACTGACACAACACAAAGATGCGGGAATGTACACTAAAACCCACGAGGCAAAAGATTTTACCTTTTACCCATTTTTGTTTCTTGTCAACAAAAGGCGAATAGAGTTGGAATCGTTCGCGACTTATTTGTTTTTATAATATGGGCTTTACGACCCAAGAGAGGATTTTGTTTGTTTGTATTGAACCCAACGTAGAGTTTACCCCATATAAACGAAGCCCTTTGAGTGAGTTCATGCCTATGATTAGTCCTGGGAATTTGAATCAAAACCTGTGGGTCCCGACCCGTTTGATCCGCCGCGGGGCGGGTGCGGGTCGCGTGTTTAAAATTTTCTACGGTTGTTAGGTGGGGCAGTTTACAGTTTAAAAATAGCGGGATGGATGCGGGTTTTTGTTTTTAGAAAGCGGGTTCGCGGGCACCCGCAAAATTAATAAAACTGTGTCGTTTTTTGAGTTATGATAGTGAATTTCGTGTTGTTTTCATTTTGTAGTTTTGAAGTGTATGTTGTTTTTATTTTTTATTGGCTAACTGTGTGTTGTTTAGACTTTTAAAGTTAGTTTTTTTTTTAAGTTTGTAAATGTGGCAGGTGGCGGGTAACCGCCAGACCCGCTACATTATTGCGGGGCGGGTGCGGTTATCCAAATTAAAAATTGCGAGTTCAGCGGGTAATTTTTGAATGTGTGAATTTGACTTCGACCCGCGGCGGGGCGGATTCAGCGGGACGGATCTGACCCGCAACCCAGCTCTACCTATAATCATATATGATCATATTCATATCTATTCTACTAATAATTTGTGATGAGAAACAAATTTTCGTACGTAAAAAAAATAAATGTCGTGATATTGAATTTGTAATCGAGTCCTAAACCCAGCAGCTGAATTAACAGAGACTTTTTTGTTGTTAACCATTTACGAAAGTTTTATATTTCTTTTTAACTAGAAAAACGTATTTCTTTATTGATTAATCAAAGCTGGTAGCTCCATATAATATATCACTTAACCAATATGAAATATAAGTGCTACAAGCATGTTCAAAAAATTAAAAAAGTGCTAATTACAAGCGAGACCATGGAATTTCTATATCAAAAGTTCTGAGCTAGATATATATATATATATATATATATATATATGTTTTTTTTTTTATTACGGTCCCCTCTCGAATACAATTAGGGTATATATTGTGTTTCTCCACTACGTAACCACACATTACATTTCTTCGACAAGGCTATCGTTATTATGAGCCATAATTCTATATATTTCATTACGAATTTGATTTGCATCATTTATCTATCTGATGCATTAATGCAAGTCATAAAGAAACTACTAGAATTAATATAGAAACTGTGCGGATCCGTCGTTCAGGTATTTCATAAGTTGGGTAGGGTTAGGTTTTAGGAGGTGCAAGAGTGCATGCCTTGTGATATGATACGTTCTTATTAGGAAACAGAAATTAATTTTAGGTTTGTTATACTAGGATCGAGTTTTTAAGGCGTTTACTCTAAATTAGTAGGCATATATCAACAGTGCTTGCTAAATAACACTGAACTATCTAAGTGGAAGAGAAGTTTGATTGGTTGATTAGTAAGTCGCGAGACAATGTGCATATGTAACAACTAATAATTAAAAGTGATGATTTTTTTCTATTAATTTTTCGGGCGCACACTAATCTTCCACTTGCATTAGAAAATAAAGATGTTCTCACAAAAATATTATTTCCAGAGCAAATTACAACAAACTGACAAGAACAACAACAAAACACGTGAGTCGATAACAGTTGCTAAAACCACATTTGTCTTGTGATTAAACTGAGATTGTTTTGTGATCTTGACCCGGTGAACAATTCTCTTCCTCATTGATTCTATCGGTCTTCTTAGATCTGACATGGGCCTTCTTGAGCCCCAATAGCTCCTTCCACGTGCCCTTTGTGGAAAAGGACGAAGAAGGCAAAAGTTGGGGCCTGAGGGAAAAAATGTTGCCGTCGACCACATGATCCTCTTCTTCAACAAGAAGCTCTTCTCTCAGTGTCCTGGTCTCCTTATAAGGTAAGATTTTTCCTTTGAGGATGATCTCATCGGCGGGAATCATGGTGTAATCGGAGACTGAGAACTCGAAATCAGAAGAGGGCTTGGAGAGAGAGCTTCTCGTGTTAATGTTGTTGCTCTTAGCATTATTACTCTTCTCCGATCCGATGATCTCGACAAATTCGTTAGAGAAAGAGATTCTAGCATCACCATTTATGGATTTGTGCATTTCTAAGCATGACATATTGTGTTTTGTAGTTTACAAAGAAAGACTTGTGGAGAAAAAGAGATAAGAAAGATATGGATACTCAATTGCAGATATAGTGAGAGATCTAAGACTTTAGTTTGTAACTTATATTAGGTATAGGAGTTGCGATGAGATAAATTAATGCCAACTCATATATCCATAAATTGAGCTCGCTTGAATCTGGATTGACAACAGTAGTATAAACCACTAAACTACATGTCTTGTCCATAAAACTTGATCATCTAAATGAATATTCCTCGGAAATGTTATAAAAAAGTGTTAAATATATGAGTCATTGGCAAGATACTGATCTTCGTATCTTGAAGCAGTACAAAATTGTTGGTCGTATAATTGAGTTTAGTTATGTTAATTATACAAACAGTTATACAGTTAGAGTCAAAGGACGTGTGTGTCTATGTGTCAAGAGTCGTGTCTTGTTAGTGTGTCAGTTATGTCCAAATAGAAGAGTTGCATCTCTTCACTTAGTGTCTGTTGTTTTAGTTTATAAGTATAACGATGTCGTGATGTAAAAACACAAGTTTGATATTCAATAAAGTCTCTGTTTCTTTACATATTCTGTTTATCAAACGATTAACATGGTATCAGAGCCCTACTGATTCAAGGGCCAAATTCAAGTAAAAAAAAAAAAAAAAAAAAAATCAGAGAGTGATGGAGATGATGTCGCATATCGTGACACCAATCTTCAATGGTGAGAATTATGGATTTTGGCGTATCAAGATGAAGACAATCTTCCAGACGAAGAACCTGTGGGAAGTTGTCGAAGGAGGAGTTCCAAATCCACCTGTACAAGGTGATCACAGTCCTGAAGCAATTTTACAGAAGAATCGAAGTGATGAGGCAGTTCTACAAGACTTAACTGCATTACAAATTCTTCAAACAGCAGTCTCGGATTTCATATTTCCTAGAATTGCTCCTGCATCAAGCGCAAAAGAGGCTTGGAATGCTTTGGAGATGGAGTTTCAAGGATCTCCACAAGTAAGGATGATAAAGCTTCAATCACTGAGAAGAGATTATGAAAATTTGAAGATGAACGAAGATGATAATGTCAAGGTTTTCACGGGAAAGTTAATTGATTTGGCAAATCAATTGCGAGTCCATGGAGAGGAGAAAACAGATTATCAAATTGTTCAAAAACTTCTCATCTCTCTTCCTGCAAGGTTCGACAGCATCGTGGCTGTGTTAGAACAGACGAAGGATCTACAAACATTGGCTGTGACAGATTTAATCAGCACACTTCAAGCACAAGAAAATCGTTTCTCATTACGATATGAGAATTCAACAGAAGGTGCGTTCAATGCACAATCAAGAGGAAAGAAATCTGATTTCAAAAGGGAAAACAGATTTGGTGAAAATCAAGTAAAAGAAAAATGGTGTGATGTCTGCAAGAAATACAACCACACAGAGGCAGATTGTTGGAGGAAACAAGGTTCAAATGTTCAAAAAAAGGGTTCGAAGAAGAAGAAGAGATGTTACAACTGTGATAAGACAGGACATTTCTCAAGGGATTGCCCTCTAAAGAAACATGAACGAGCACACATGAGTCTTGAGGAAGAAGACGATGAAGACGAAGGTCACATGCTCTTCAGTGCAAGTGAAGAAACACCAACAATCACCAAAGAAGAAGTATGGTTGGTAGACAGCGGTTGTACCAATCATATGACAAAGGAGGAGAAATACTTTATCAAATTAGATAGAAGTATTAAGGTTCCAATTAAGGTTGGAAACGGAGAAGTTGTAATGACAGCAGGCAAAGGCGACATTGCTATCATTACAAACAAAGGAAAACGAGTCATTAAAGATGTTTTCCTTGTACCTGGATTAGAGAAGAATCTACTAAGTGTTCCACAAATAATATCTCATGGATACCGTGTCATGTTTGAAGACAAGCGGTGTATAATCTTAGATCCTATGGGGAAAAAGATTATGGAGATTAAAATGGTTCACAAGAGTTTTCCAATAAAATGGAATTCTTCTCAAGAAAGTGCTATGAATGCTCGTGAAGAAGAAGACATGGAGTTATGGCATAGGAGATTGGGTCACGTGGGAAATTCAAGAATTCAACAAATGCAAAAGAAGAAGATGGTGGATGGCTTACCAAAATTTCAAGTGAACAAAGAATTGTGTGGAGCATGTAAACTTGGAAAGCAAGCAAGAGATGCGTTTCCGAAGGAGTCTCATACAAAAACAAAGGAGAGACTTGAACTTGTTCACACCGACGTTTGCGGTCCGATGCAAACTGAGTCACTTGATGGAAGTCGATATTTCTTATTGTTCGTAGATGATTATACTCACATGTGTTGGGTATATTTTCTCAAGAACAAGTCTGAAGTTTTCTCGATGTTTAAAAAGTTCAAAGCCTTGGTGGAAACTCAATCAGTTTGTAAGATCAAGAGACTTCGATCTGATGGCGGCGGTGAATTTACTTCAAGTGAATTCATCAAATTCACTCAACAATGCGGAATCGAGAGACAAGTAACAGTGCCGTATTCGCCTCAACAAAATGGTGTAGCGGAACGTAAAAATCGTTCATTGATGGAGATGACACGGACCTTAATTACGGATCAAGGACTTCCATATAAATTATGGGCAGAGGCGGTGTATACGTCGGCATATTTGCAGAATCGATTACCCACAAAAGCCATAGAAGATGACATCACACCTATTGAAAAGTGGAGTGGTCATAAACCGACAGTTGGACACTTGAAGATCTTTGGAAGTTTATGCTTTGTACACGTGCCCAATGAGAAGAGAAGAAAATTAGATGAAAAGGCCAAACGTGGAATCTTCATTGGTTATAGTAGCTAATCAAAAGGCTACAGAGTTTTCATCTTAGAAAGTGAGAAAGTGGAGATATCAAGAGACGTGGCATTTGAAGAAAGAAAGAAGTGGGATTGGGATAGAAAAGAAGAAATCAAGAGAAACTTTATCGTACCCGTGAATAATTTACAAGCACAAGGAGATCATGTCGAAAATATCTCCAGCCCTGTTTTATCTCAACTTGGTAATCAAGATCACGATAATGAAGAAGACGCCTCAACATCTCCTCAACCGCCAAAGAAATTCAGATCCATGACAGAAATAATGCAAGTCGCACCTATGGTGGATCTTGAAGAAGCGGCTCCAGCCTATGAAGCATGCCTTCTTGTAACAGAGGAACCACAAACCTATGATGAAGCCTCAGAGATTGCAGAATGGAGACAAGCCATGGAAGAAGAAATCAACATGATCGAAAAAAACAGAACATGGCTACTTGTGGAGAGACCAAAGGAAAAGAACATCATTAGCGTGAAGTGGATATATCGTCTCAAGACAAAAGCTAATGGTGATCCACTTAAGTACAAGGCAAGGTTAGTTGCAAGAGGTTTCTCTCAAGAATATGGTGTTGATTACCTTGAAACTTTTGCACCAGTTTCAAGACATGACACAATCCGGGCAATCCTTGCTCTCTCGGCACAAATGAAGTGGAAACTTTATCAAATGGACGTGAAGTCGGCGTTTCTCAATGGAGAACTTGAGGAGGAGATCTATGTAGCACAACCTCCTGGATTTGTGATTGAAGGAGAAGAAAGAAAGGTGTTAAGGCTGAAAAAAGCTTTATACGGCTTAAAACAAGCCCCTAGAGCTTGGTATGGAAGGATAGATTCATATTTTCTTCAACATGGATTTCAAAGAAGTATGAATGATGCAGCTCTATATGTGATGAAGAAAGGAAAAGAGATCTTGATCGTGAGCCTGTACGTAGACGATATCATCATCACGGGTAACAATTCTCAACTCATTGAAAAATTCAAAGAAGATATGAAGATGGAGTTTGAGATGACCGACTTGGGGCTGCTAAATTATTTTCTGGGAATGGAAATAATTCAAGATGAATATGGAGTTTTTCTGTCACAAGAAAAATATGCCAATAAGCTTGTTGAGAAGTTTGGAATGAAAGGATGCAAGAATGTAAGCACACCACTTACACCAAACGGCAAGAAGATTGAAGATGATGAAGAATATGGTGAACCAACAAAATTCAGAAGCATCGTTGGAGGGCTGTTATATCTTTGTGCATCAAGGCCAGATATAATGTTTGCAAGCTCTTATCTCTCACGTTACATGTCAAAGCCGCTGAACAAACACTATCAAGAAGCCAAAAGAGTTCTAAGGTATGTCAATGGAACGTCTCACTTTGGAGTTCAGTTTTCAAGTGTCAAGTATCCAGAACTGCAAGGATATTCAGACAGTGATTGGGGAGGATCAAATGAGGATAAGAAAAGTACATCCGGGTATGTTTTCTCTCTCGGATCTTCTGTCTTCTGTTGGAACTCTAGTAAACAGCAAACAGTGGCACAATCAACGGCGGAAGCAGAGTATATCGCCGTGTGTTCAGCAACAAATCAAGCAATTTGGTTACAAAGACTTATGGAAGATATAGGCTTTGATTCTCAAGAAGGAGTTCCAATTTTCTGCGACAACAAATCGGCAATTGCCATTGGGAAAAATCCTGTTCAGCATCGAAGAACAAAGCATATCGAGATTAAGTATCATTTTGTTCGTGAAGCTGAACACAAAGGTCTTATAAAGCTCAAGTATTGCGAGGGTGAAATTCAACTTGCGGATCTGCTTACTAAAGCACTTAGCAACAGAAGGTTTGAAGAACTAAGGAGCAAGCTTGGTGTGGGACCGAAACTCAATTAAGGAGGAGTGTTGGTCGTATAATTGAGTTTAGTTATGTTAATTATACAAACAGTTATACAGTTAGAGTCAAAGGACGTGTGTGTCTATGTGTCAAGAGTCGTGTCTTGTTAGTGTGTCAGTTATGTCCAAATAGAAGAGTTGCATCTCTTCACTTAGTGTCTGTTGTTTTAGTTTATAAGTATAACGATGTCGTGATGTAAAAACACAAGTTTGATATTCAATAAAGTCTCTGTTTCTTTACATATTCTGTTTATCAAACGATTAACAAAAATCACATGGGGGCACGTGAGAACAATCCAACGTCCTCTGTTATTTCTTGTTCTATTGATTACAAATTTACATTCAAAAATCAACGAAATATCAACAATGATTGACATAAGAAGTTCTAATTAATACATACGTACATATAACTATAACGTGCAGTCAAAGGACCACGGTTGTCAACCACGTGCTTAGAACTTCCATTGAACCATGTTTCTGCCACCTGTTGAGCTGAGAAGATGTCCACTTTAATCTGCCCGTGATTGGTCAAACAGCAGTTTCGTATCAAAAACGTCCCTAGTTAAGCTTCTTTAGAGTAACCAGAAACTGATATGATCAACTACTTGGAATTTCGTTTTCAAAGTTGACTTTCATATCAAATTCTGCTTTGCAAAAGGGTTAATATATTCTCTACCAATACTCTACTTATTGGTAAATAGAAGCAATTAGCTGTAGATAATTACTTAGGTTATGTACTATTTTGTCTGTTAATGGATAGTGATAGCCAGACATGAACAGAACAAGGTGTAGCGTGAGACAGCGAAAAAAGAGGTTTAATTTGAGATGTGGGTACCACAAAGACCATTGACCAAGATCAAGTGATGACGTCATCATGGCACGTAACGAGAGAAAGACAGACACTGACTGATAGATGGATTCAACGTGTCAGTGGGCTTCGTACACAATTATCTTCAAAACCCTTTCTTGGCTTTATATTACTCACAGTGATCATTGATACTAATTTCTGCGGAGACCATCAGAGTTCATCGGATTGAAGAACATTGTAATTCCGATGGATGCTGTGGATGATTTAATTTATTATGTAGCAGATAATCTTATTAATTAGCCTATTCAAAGGTTACTCCAATGTTATACCTAGTCTTATTATCTTACAGATCATCACATGATGTAACTTACATAAACAATATTTTCTTCCACTCGAGCCCACTAAATTGTATAGGTGATCTATTGCATAACTAGGATCATTCAAAAGCAAACAACAGAAATTTGACTATAGCCAAAAACAATGAACTAATGACATTTAACAGCTCAAAAATGTTACGTATAATGTTATGGTTCAATATGTTTTACCTCTTTTTCTTACGTAAAGTAGCAAAACACTACGAGCAAAAACGAAGTCAAGAGTCAAACCAAAAAAAACGAAGTCAAGAAACTCTCTCACACCTACTATATATATTATTTTAAACTGCTACATTACATATATTCCAAAATTTTAATAAAGTAGCTAATTCAAATCAAGCTACACAGTAGTATACACTACACTTGCAATTTTTTTATAAGTAATGATTTTAGTCAAATGTTAGATACACGATATTACAAATGAACAAAAAGACCAACCATCACTCCAAATACTAAAAACATATCTAAAAGGGGAATACAGCTTCGAGTAATTATAAAACCAAATCTAAAAACACCTCTTTTAAACTTCACTACTTCAGAGATAATCTTTAAACAATGCAATTTCAAAAACTAACTCACTATTAATTTATCAACACTAAACATACACACAAAAAAAACTTGTCTGGTCGGTTCGGATATATTGAATCAGATCATCAACGCCATGAGGAAACAGTGAGGAGAGGCACATTGTCCCAAGCTAAGGAGATGAAACCTGGCTCCGATTCAACAAGTGAATACAATGTACTGTAATTGTAACTCCATAGGAGCAGACTCGCTTGGCTAACCGCGTAATTACTCGGTTTAACCGGCTCAAAACCAGCTTTCTCCATCAACACTCTCCACTGTTCTTTCTCTTCCATTCGCCCTGACCGGTTGCCCGGTTTATTATTACCGGGTCGAACCAAATCCGCTATCCTCCTACCGAAAAGAACTCTCTCCACTCTTAGCCTTTCTTTCGAATCTCGCTCCAAATTCGGTTCGAGTGATTCAAAAACCGCTGAATAGAACCGGAGAGCGTTTTTCACCCGGTTAACGAATTCAACCCGGTTTAAACTCACTTCGTATTCACCAAGTGTCACGATTCTCGGGTTCAGCGATCTAGCGAGCCGGAGTGCATTATCGACGATCGTCGCCGTTTCGTCGAGAAGCTTATAAAGCTCGAGCATGAAATTCACGGCGAGAAAATCATCCGGTTCGACCCGGAAACTCGACACGTTTAGTAAATGGATCGGAGTGAGAATCGGATAAAACTCAAAATTCAGGTCCAAAACCGCCGCGAAATCACGGAGGCGGTTTCCTGTAGCGATCAGAGACATTCCCGGTGAATCGCCGAGAGAAGGAGCGGGTATACCCGAAATCCGAATTCGGGCGGGTTTTCCAGAGGCTCGGGTCGCTAGAGCTTGCAAGAGAGCAGCCCATTGAACACCTTGGAAAATTCCGAAATCGACGATGTGAATGTTGCTGGAATTGTGCGTAGCTTCTAGAATCGCTTGATTCGCCGTCAAGTGAGCGAATTTGGAGAAAGGGCAAGCGTCGTTTAAGGTTTTATAAGAGAGAATGAAATCTTTTAGCGACGGCGATTCCGTTTCTTTCTTTGCCGTCGACGACAGTCTTTTAGACAGAGCTTCCGTGAAGTAAAACCCAACTCGCTCCGTCGGGTCGCCTGAGTCCGATACGGATTCTCGGATCCGAACAAGCGTTTCCGCGGCTACGTCCGGTTTGATTTCTAAATTCCGTGCACAATCGTGGATAGCTTTCAGAACCGGCCGGTTTAAGTCAAAAGCTGGCTCCTTTGTCACTAGCTGCGGCGGAGATGGGGTCCACAAAGTGGTGGCAACCGGCGGGTTAGTGAGTTGACTCGCTGAGTCATCCTTATTTAAGAATATTACTCCGTTAAGATCCGACGGAGTACTGAGTCGACTCGGGAATACCACTGATGGATCATGGCCGTGGATTGAAAAATCTTGATTGGTTTGCGACGCATCTCCACCGTTGATTAGACTTTCCATCCACTCGTCCGAGTCGAACTCTTCATCAGAAGAAAATCTAAAACCCTCAGAAACGACGGCGTTTTGGTGCTCCATGTGTAGAAACTGAAAACCCGGGTCGCCGGCTACCTGAATCGGGTCGAGGAAACCCGAACCGGTTAGAGTATAACCTGAGGATTGATTGGGCCATGGAATCGGTTGTTCTTGTTGGTGTTGCAGCTGTGATTGGTGTTGTTGTTGTTGCTTTTGTTTGATGAGTTGTTGTGCTATGGCCATTAAGTTTCCACTGTCTGTACACATATAGGCCATTTTCCGGCTAAACTCGCCGGCGAGGAAGGCGTTTTCCGGTTTCTGTTTCTGGTAGTGATTGATGAAAATAGGAGTCTTTGGGTCTGAGAGAAAGAAGAGAAGAGAGACTTTTAGTAGAGCTTCGAAAGTGGACTGAACGAGTATTTTAATTACATACCATTGGCAGTTAAGTATAGAAGAGTGTGACATCATCTCCACCGTTTGATTTTAGCTTCGTGAAATCAGATCGATGGCTTTGCTGAATGCTGAAGGTGACACGTCGACAACTGTCTTATGGTACTTGTCACCTGCATGTCTCCAAGAACTTTTTTATCATTTACTTTGATTTAAAGGTTTTTACTGACAAAGAAAGAAGTGTAAGTTCAGAACTCTCCAAAAATAAAGAAGCAGAACACGTAAAAGATTGATGTAAGAAAGTAAAAAAAAAAGGGAAAGGTTACATTTTTAAGTATTACTTTGTGCTTTTAAGCCGCAAAGGTCTTCTACAAGCTGTCTCTCATCAACCAAGGTCGCACAAGGATGACAAAAAACACAACCCAAGGTTTGAATTGGGATTGTTTAGCTACAACGGTTAAAATTCAACTGTTTTATTTTTATCAACCTTAAATCGACCGTAAAGCTAAGCTAATATCTTGAATAAAACCACTTACCAGAAAACAAAAACTAAATGGATTCAACATGGCCTAAGGAACCAAACAACAAATGGACTTGTTTTATTTTGTATATACGCGTGTATTTATCTCAACGTTATTGTCTACGAGGATGACTTGTGGGCCAATAAGTAGGGCCCATATAATAGGCCTTATATAGAGCAAAAGCGATAGGTGGCGGGGGCCACAAGTATTTGTTGGACCCATCTTTGACGAAAGATAATGCAGCAGTAGCTAAAAGCCTAAAACTACCCAAAATACAAAGAAATACTAAAAAGACCAACACAATAAAGAAGCAAGAGTTAAATAAGGTTTATAGATTTTACATCGTCTTTCAATATTTAATTAACCAATTTTATTATTCATAAAAGACAAATATATCTTCAATTTTGGTGTGAAATATTTTCCCTTTAATCATTTAGCCAATTGTTGGACCAAAACCGTTCTCATGTTTATAGACTTCACTTTGTAATATTAAAGAAAATAACTATATAAAAAAAAAAAACAATATAGTGAATACAAAGCACATGGGAACGACATTGGACTCTTGAGACATCACTCTTTTTCATTTCATCGTTGTATCCGCGTCAAAAGGCCAGTCCCCTACCCTCCACTATACTTTTCCTATAACTTAAAAAGTAAAAATATCTAAATTACATTACTAAACATGGTATTTAGCCTCTGGTCCAAATCTACTTTTTTGTTTTCACTTTTGGCATTTTTACTCCTAAGTGACATTGGACTGTTCTATTCCGTAATGATTTCAACAAGTGACCACATTAGCATACATGGAAGGAAAATGAAAAATATGAGATTTTTGAAAAAGACCTGTCTTTATAAACGGCAATTCCACTTTAGTTTTTCTCCATTGCAACTATTTGCAATAGAACTTGGAGAGAGAAGAAGAGAGGGAGAGAGAGAAAGAAAGTGGTGTGTGAAAAGGACAGTAGTAAGAGTGAAAGGGTTTGATTTGTCTTTTCTTTCTCTCCAAGTCATCGGTGGGGTTTCGTATGTATGACCAAAGAGTGGCATTGAGTCACCACCAAGAAAGTGTTTCTCTGTTTTGGCTTTAACTTATCTCTCTATGTGTTTACCCATTTATGTCACCTCTTTTCCCTTCTTTACACTAATTTTGTTTTTAGCCCTTACTAACCAAAATTTACCCATTTTTGTCTCATCCTTTTCAGTTTGCACTAATTTTCATTTCAACCCTATAAACTTTATTTGTTTGTCCTATTGTATAAACAAGTAGTACTAAGTCTAATAAATTTAGCTAAGTCCTAGTTTTCCTTTGCAATTAATATTTTTTGTGAAATATCATTTCAATTTTGATTGGAAATATTGATTATCAAAACTAATATCTGTTTAACACACCAATTTATACATATATATATATATGTATATATGTATTTGGTGAAGACTAGTCATACAGGAAAACAACTTTAAAATTTCGATTTTTTTATGAAAGAGTCCCTCTCCAAAAGGCTCCACTTTCGTAGCCTGTTATTGACCAGCTAAATCACTTACCAAAAAGACACTTCCTTGCGGGCCAAACCATTAAGAAGGAAATCAAATAAACATGGGCTTTAGGTGGGTGGTCTAGTCTCGATTTAATCATCGAGCATGTTCATGTGAAGAGATCTATTCTCCGAAGTCCAACGAACCTATTCGTCTTTAGAATATGGCTCCCAACTAAAAACAATCAATCACATGGTGCGGTTTTCCTTCAAACTCAAAGTGCAAAGCATAGCTATGATGAACATTTAAAACGAATAAGATTTAGCATGAATCGAAGACAGTGAGTTTTCAATTAAACCGAGAGGGACACATGTTAAGAGTGTTAGGAGGGTTGCTAATAGGCAAATACCCTAAAAAAATTATTGGCTTTTTCTAAGAGAATTGAGACTATAATCTGAATTTTTAAATTTGACGTGATTATAATAGTGTATCTCCTTTTTTAATGTGTTACTTGTTTTATTTTGTCTTCTAACGTTTTTAATTTTACTGTCTATTTTTTGATCTCCTTCCTTATTAAACAAATGGAAGAGACATTAGAAACAGCAAAGAGAAATAGCCAACGACCTTAAGATGACATGTCAAGATTGCTTAACAGAGAAATAAGGAAAACGGAGTTGTATATACATTTATACTGTGTCGAACTTGTCTTTTTGTTGGGTTTAACCGTTTAAGAGAATGTCTTGGATAGATTAAAAAAAAAAAAGAGAATGTCTTGGAAAGGAATTGTTACCGTTCTGAGAAGCACGAAACAAGGATTTCCGCAAACAAAAGATAACCATGATTAAGGTCGTAAACAAAATTTACTGTTACATAATTATTTAATGTTGTGGGAGTTAGACTGAATACTTGCAGGTGTATCAAGGTCAACGAAGAAGAGCTGTGGTCAAAGACTTGGAACGAGAACGAGTCTTCTCCAACAGCAAAAGCCTCAGTCTGAGAAAGAGTCTTCTAACGGTTTTGAAATCAAAAGGAAGAAGCAGAGTCCATTCTCTGATTCCGAGGCAAGAAAAAGACTTCCCACCTAACTCGTACGAACTCAAGCAAGCAGAGGGAACACAAGCGTGCTTTCTGATACCGGAGGAGCAGAGCCTGCAGCAGCGCCTTCGTATCTGTGCACAAGGATTGCAAAGAGACAAAGTTTTGTATCTAGAATAATCTCTTTGAGGATATAAATAAGGTGAAGAGGGAATGTCTCTGTAAGAGTGTGATAGAGAGCTTGTGTAAAGTTGCAGAGAGAATATGGTTGTAGAAAGCTCGGTGTAGAGCTAAAGGATTTAGTGGATTCATCCGGAGAACCTCTCCGGGGAGACGTAGCGACCCACATTGGGCATGAACTCCTTAAATCGCCTGTGCCATTTTCTTTTCTGCATCCGTTTTCATACTTCTTCATACACACGAGTGAACTTGTTTTTCCGAGTGAGAGAGAGAGAGTTCAAGACACTAAAAGGTTTCTACTTTAGTGTTAAACAGAGCATAAATCTCAACAAATTGGTATCAGAGCTCCAGGTTCGGAGGTTTCTTATCTCAAGGTCTGAAGAAAGATGTCTTCAGCAAGAACGGAGGTAGAAAAGTTCGATGGAAAGGGAGACTACATGCTCTGGAAGGAAAAGCTGCTAGCTCATATCGAGATCTTGGGATTAGCAGAAGGTTTGGTAGAAGATGAAGCTCAAGAATCAGAAGATTCGTCTGCAGAAACACTCGAAGCAACCGTTAAAAGCAAAGACGAGGTTACTGCAGAGAAGTCTCTTTCTGAGAAGATGAAGAAGGTCAGATCTACCATTATCTTAAGCGTAGGAGACAATGTCCTCAGGAAAATCATCAAAGAAAAAACAGCTGCGGCCATGTTAAAGGTACTAGATCAGCTCTACATGGCTAAGTCTCTTCCTAATCGTATCTATCTGAAGCAAAGACTATATGGGTATAGTATGACTGATAGTATGACGATTGAGGAGAATATAAATGATTTTCTGAGGCTAATAACGGATCTAGAACACGTTAAAGTTTCTGTATCTGATGAGGATCAGGCTATCATTCTGCTTATGGCTCTTCCTAAGCCTTTTGAGCAACTAAAGGATACTCTGAAGTATGGAAAGACGTCTCTTTCCTTGGAAGAGATCATTGGAGCCGTTAGATCCAAGGAGCTCGAGTTGGGGGCAAGTGGTAAACTCTCAAGAGGTAGCTCAGAGGCGTTGTTCGTTCAAGACAGAGGAAGATCTGAGAAAAGGGAAAAACCGAATAACAAAGGCAAGCAGAAGCATCGGTCAAAGTCTAAAGGGAAAAAGACTTGTTGGATCTGCGGTAAAGACGGTCACTACAAGAAGCAGTGTTTCGTTTGGAAAGAAAGAAACAAACAAAGAGATGCTGGTGAATCGTCAAATGTCACAAGACAGGTTCAAGATGCTGCAGCGTTGATTGTTTCAGAGGTTTTGTTGTCGCTTGGAGATGAACTGAAGGAGAAATGGATCATGGATACTGGTTGTTCTTTCCACATGACTCCGAGAAGAGACTGGTTTGTAGAGCTCAACGAAGTAAACTCTGGAAAAGTCAGAATGGCAAATGACACTTACTCTGCAGTCAAAGGTATCGGAAGCATAAGGATCAAGAATGAAGACAATACAACAGTTCTTCTGACCAATGTAAGATACGTACCTGAAATGTCCAAGAATCTGATATCTCTTGGGACTTTAGAGGATCAGGGATGTTGGTTTCAGTCTAGAGAGGGAGTCATGAAGATCAACAAAGGATGCAGGACACTTATCAAAGGAAAGAAAACAGATACGCTTTACATTCTCAGCGGGTCTGTTCTCACAGGAGAAGCAAGTGTCTCAGTTGGCCCTAAAGACGAGACTCAACTATGGCATCGAAGGCTCGGACATATGAGTCAAAAGGGGATGAAAGTCCTACTAAAGAAAGGATATTTGGACAAAACCAGGGTCACGGATATGACATTCTGTGCGGA